ACTGTTTTTTCTTTGTTAAGGGAGGAAGCTCTTTTTGTTTCAAAAGACCTACTTACGTAGCCTTGTCTTTCCATGGAATTGGGGTCACAGCCCTCCCTCTGCTTGCCTGCTGAACGAATTCCCCATGCACACACTAGGAAAGAAAAAGCCCCCAGCTGGGTGTGCATGAGTGAGCATTTGGCCTGATAGGAAACCCAACCAGGTGGGTCAGTCCCTGGGCCCTAATCTCGGGCCCTGTGAAGCCTCCTCTCCTGGTTCACATAGAGAGTGCTGGAGAACCCCCCTGTCTCCTCTCAGCACAGCGGAGCAGGGGGTGAGCCCAGCAGAGCTGCCCTGGGAGGCTCAGGCTGAGGGGTCCTTCTCAAGAGCCTCAGGACCTCAGGAGCACCGGGTCTTCCTGCAGCTCCCAGGGACACAGGGACACAGGCATGCGACCCGCTGTGAGGTCACGGTGGAGCTCCCCAGCATATCAGCCAACAGTCCACAACTGAGTCCAGGTAAACCGGATTGACAAGGTGACAGGCTTAGTGCTCTGGCTGTCTGGTTGAGGGGAGGGGGTTGAGTAGACACCTTCTCTTCAAGCGGGAGGACCCACGCAGCGCAGGGCAGTGGGACCTCAATCAACCTGCTCCATTAGGTTCTGGGACCTGGGCCCCCCTGACTGGCATGGTGCTGCCCCACCCTCTGTTAGACACCAGGGCTACTGTGGAGAGTCCATGGGTCAGACTTCATTTCCTTGGTCACCCAGCCTCTTCCTAACAGCACCCAGTTTCCTCTGGGTAGACGATATCTCCCCTTCGTGTGCAGGAGCAGAGGAACTGCTGCTCAATGTTGGGCACCCCCTCCCCCAGCCCAGCAAGAAGCCAGACCAGCCAGATGCTTCGGGGAGTTGGACTTTCTAGAGAAGTTACCAAAGAGTCTTTTTTTTTTTTTTTTTTTTTTCTTTTTTTAGTAAATGGAAAACATTCATCCTGGGGTGGCTCCTTGACAAGATGGCTGAGTTGGTTCTGGTGCTCAGTTCCTGGAGCTGCTCTGTTGCCCGCCCTGCTTCTGGGGCCATTTGCAGGCTCTGGGCCCAGCCTTCCTGCCCTTTCATGAGCCCCTGGGTGTCTGTGCAGAGAGTCTTTGTTTAACCTAGGTAAAGCTAGTCTGGCTGGCAAAGAGCCCTAACTGATACAAGGATGTTTGTGGGTTCTATTTACTATTTTCAAGTACTTCCAAGGAGCACAGCAAATATTAACTCATTAATGCTCATGATCTAGTGAACTCTGTGCTAATTTCTCCATTTTACAGATGGAATTAGTACCTAGAGGAGGTAAGTAACATGCCCAGGGATGCAAAGCCACTGGTAAGGAGCTCGGATTCCACCTCCTGGGCTGGCTTCAAGAACACAGTCTGAGCTCTCAGACACTAGGCTCTGCAGTCTCTCATTACAAGTTAGCACCCGTTCACAGCACCAAGAATAACCAACATGAGCCAACTGCAATTGAGGCTTAATGAAAAATAAAAGCTACAGTAGGAATGATATATAATCCTATTTCCCAACATGTAACAGCACTCATTATATAGTATTAAGTGAAAAATATTGATTAGAACACATTTTATTATTAAGATGGTATAACCACTGCCTCCCTCCCAGCTTGTCCTCCCTCTCCCTACCCCACCCTATTACAAAACCTTGGATAATTTTCATCAAATTGGCAACCATGATTATTCTCCTGACTTGGAGAGGACTACCAAGCATTGGGCTTGTTGGTAATAGAAGATGCAAGATAAAAGAAGAAGAAGAAGAAGAGAAGAAGAAGAAGAGAAGAAGAAGAAGAAGAAGAAGAAGAAGAAGAAGAAGAAGAAGAAGATATAATAGCTTGAGCTTTGGAGAGGATATCCTGATACGCCCCTGACCATTGAACCCCTAAAAACTTACCTAAATGGCATGTATCTGAATTCTGGGTAGGGCTTATCTCTCACCATCTGGAAAACCTGTGTGACTCAATGAGGCTTTCAGAACACTCAACACTTCCTGCTCCTCAGATCTAATTAACAAACTGTCATGATGGTTACTTTTATGCGTTAACTGGACCATGGGGTGCCCTGTTTAAACATTATTTCTGGGCATGTCTTTGAGGATGTTTCTGGATAAGTTCAGCATTTTAATCAGTGGACTGAGTAAAGTACATTGGCCTCCCCATGCAGGTGGGCACGAGCCACACTTACAGACTTGGGTAGAACAAAAAGAGGAGAGAGGGAAATTCATTCTCTTCCTGCCTGCTTAGTTGAGCTTGGATTTACTTTACTTTTTCTCTTGGATTTCCTACTCTCTTGAACTGGGATTTACACCACCTGTTCCTCTGGTTCTTGGGCCTTCAGACTTGGGCTGGAATTACACCTCATCTTTACTGGGTCTCTTGCTTGCCGATTGCATATTGTGGAGATGCTCTGCATCCATAACGACATAAGCCAATTCCGCATAATAAATCCCAATGCCCATAAATATATGGTTCTGCTTCTAGAACAATTGGTTCTGTTTCTCGGGAGAGTCCTGATGAATACAGTCATTGATACAGTGGACTAATGTACTGCATTGTAGTGACCAGGCAGACAGGTTCCTTCAGGCTATGTTGAAACAAAATTCACATAGTCCTGGGGCAAGACTAAATGTGTACTGCTGTCTATTTCATGTGGCCATGAACTACTTCTTATCCTATTTCCTACTGGATATTTTAAAAGCACATTTTCCATGTTAACAGTTGCATAGCATATACCGTAGGCCATGCTACTCTGCACTAATGAGGATACCATGTCTTGTACAGCCGCTGTAATTGGTGCTACTACTTAATTACAGCTCTTTTCCATTTTTCTTTTTTCTTTTTAGAGTGTCTGTCTCTGTGTGTGTGTGTGCCTGCAGGCAGGGAGGGGCGGAGGGAGAGAGAAGTGCAAGCAGACTCCATGCTGAGCACAGAGCCCAACTTGGGGCTGGATCCCATGACCCTGAGATCATGACCCAAGCCAAAATCAAGAGTCAGATGCTTAACTGACTGGGCCACCCAGGTGCCCCTTGATTACATTTCTAGCAGCCTTGAACCAAATAGTTTCGGCAGAGGTCAGACCAAATGGAAGGGTAATGAGGGTACAACCACTGTACAAGCCTTGAAGTCTTTACAGGTGGCACTAATCTCAATCATTTCCCAGCCCAGGAATATGATGTTGCTTTTGACTATTTCACCATGGGAAATTTCAGTTTCATGGCTTTCCGCTGGCTCTTCTTAAAAGTCATTATTATTTCACAGAGTATTTTATAGGTTAATGAACTACTTCATCCAACTGTCATGTGTGTCCCAGTCAGGAACTGGGGTGGCTTCAAGGATTGGGTGGACCCATTGTAACATGGATATTTCCTGACTTCCATACTCTCCACTCAAACAAGGACCATGATAGTGTTTTGCATCCCTAGAGTAACATCAAATAAGATGCTGTATTCAACAATCTTTGAAAGATCTATGTATTTTCCATTCTCTGACATGTGGTTTTAGAATAAAAGACCATTGGTCTTTTTGGTGAAGAGCTGAGGAAATCACTACAGGTACATTTGCAGAGTTCTTTTTATCAGACCTGGACTCATTTCTATCAGCAGGTTTTGGGTCCAAGAATTGACTGGAAACTGGGCAAATGATTTTGGTTTTTCATTGGGGCAGCTGAACTCAGCTATCAGATCATTTATTTTTAATCGCTTTTGAGGGTGTATATGAAGCGATATCCTTGTTGGCTGCCCATCTGTCTTACCTATAAGAACACCATGTCCTATTACCTGTCTCTAGAGACATCTGGCTGTCATTTTAATCTTGCTGTCCATTCCATAAGTTACGTCATCTTGCCCTCTTAGCAGTGTGTTCTTTATCACCATGTTAAGTTAGCATCTCTGAGGCCTCCAGGAACAGTCATCTGAAGGATGGGTTTTCCAGCTATAGAGAGTAGAGCCATGTCCATTTCACTAGGTTTTTAGATTCCCCCTTTTCATAATCTGAACCAATGTGTCCAGTATCTCTACTGGTTGTCTAGTGTGTACCCTGGCTTCTAGCAAGCCTCTAAAAGCCACCCAGAAACATATCAGAACCATCACCTTTGGCCCTTGTCAAGCTAACTAAGTTCTATGGCACAGGAGAGTGCACCCTTATCAACAATTCTCCTCTTCCATTTCACATTCCCCTTTCTTCATTTAGGATCCACTTCCAGACATAATCCCCTAGCACCTGCTTGTACATGTTAGCCAGTCCTACAGTGCCATTGGACTAAAAACCCTCTCTTCACCTAGCCGACCCACATAGGACATTCCTAGTCAGGGCATGCTGAGGCTACTTGGCATAGTCCTTATTCAGGCAAGAAGTGGGGTGCTAGGGTCTGCCTCCAGATAAGGGGAAGGAGTCCTTTTCTGCAGGCCCAGTGGATTCAGGGGGATCTGGAGTTCAGAGTTCTCATGTACATCTACCTAGAGAGCCTCTTTCTGAGTTTCAGGGCTTCAATCCCTTCAATGCCCTAACTTTGGCATAAAAGACCATTTTGAGCTTAGAATTCCATCTTCTCTGATGTTCTGTCATCCTTAAAATTCAGGCCAGGCCTTCCTTACTGTCTGCTTTCCAGTTGCAGGTATGAGGATCTCTATGTTTAGGTGGTGATTAATAGTCTTAAGCCTGTCATTTAATCTTTTCAACATATTAGTGACACTTAGCAATTGCCATCAAAATCCACAGTTCTTATAGTTACTATTTCTCCTTTTGTTAATGTCAGGCAGTCATATCAGCTGGTAGGCCTCTTGGCTTATAGCTTGGCCAGTTTCCTACAGGTGAAAGTTTTGGCAATGGCACTGTTATAACACCACAGGGACTCTCAGCATTCTGTTTGTCACCATCTGGCTAGGCAGTGATCCAACATCAGAACCGAATTCTTAAGGCCTGCTTGCTAGGACCATTACCTGAAGTTGGGTTCCTTGGAAGCAGAGCCTGAGATAAAGTCTCTTAAGTAAGTGATTTATTATGAGAATTTTTTCAAGAGAAGAGGGATGAGGGAAGCAGGATCGTGTTGTGGGAAAAGCCAAGCATGGATGTGGTCCCAGCTGGAGACTGGCTCCAGCTTGATCTTGGGAGTGTAGGAACATGAATCACACACCACATGCTGGTCCATCCTTGGGACTAGGGGCCAGCCCCCAGGCCCAAGAGGTATAGTCTCCAGGCGAAGCTGGCATTGGTAGAAGGTGATATGTTGGGGAGGGGTTGGCAGCAACAGCCAATCCTCACAGCAGCTGGGGGATGAAAATTCTGCCCCAAAAGGGGATTTTCCAGAGTACCAATAGCCTCCACTATGCCAGTGAACTGCTCTCATTTGTTTCTTCAATAGCAAACACTTCCTTGAATTTCCTTTCAAATTCAGCCTCCAGTCTAAGTCCCATTAGGCCAAAGTCATTGTACTGAAAAATAAATCATAAAGACAAAAATAACAATCCTCATTGTCAGTGTTATTAGACATGTTGTAATCAAGAGGGTTGAAGACCTTGTCTTAAACACCTAAGTTACATTAATCAGGTGACACTTAAAAATTCATGCAGTTAAGAGTAACTGCTATTTCCTAAATGCACAATTACTTCTCATTAAGTAGATAGAAATGGGAAATCATTGCTATATTTGGGACTCTGACTTGTTTGGTTTGGGTTGTTTATTTTAGGGAGACCTAGAAAAGTCTTCTATGTTCTCTGCAACCATGAAAGAGCCCAATCTAACTACAATCAGTCATCTCCTTCCCCCACCCCCACTTCTAGCTCTTTCTGGTGACCCCTGTCAACTACATGCTCCATTCACATGCAAAGGAATCCAAAATTGGGGCTTCTACAAGGTTCCAATGAGTTTATCTGGGGAAAGATAAGAAGGGTGATATAACTTTAAGATGCAATTCTCTCCTTGGGTTTGGAGCAGGTGGGACTCCACTGTTCTCTGTGGGTACCTGTGGCCTTGGAACAGGGTAAAGAACTATCAGGGGCCTGGGGTTCTTGTTGCAGGAACTCCTTCTGACTCACTGTTACTCTGCCATGGTGAGCTTACATCCTGAATTGGAAAACTCACTCCCTTCCAGAACCCTTTCTTGTGTGGGCTTGTCATAGGGTGAAGGAAATGTAAAATTTTCCAGGCACCAGAATATGAAGGAGAGTGACTCAAAGAAAAGAAAATGAAATAAAAACAGGGAGAGCCCTTTACCTTGTAAGACATCCTGTGGTTGTGAAAGATGAGCCGCATGTCCCGCACAAACCCCTCTACTTGGTGGTAACCCTGTTTATTTAGCTTCTTTTTGATTTTGTCCAACCACATGGGTTCCTTTATGTTTTGAGAAACCTCTTTAATCTGGTAAGAAAAAAATATCAATGGGAGAGTTACTGGCATAGTTCAATGTCCGCCTCCGTGGATTTCCCCAAATCCAACAGAGATACAAGGTGGCGCATGCTCTCCCTCCCATGGGATTCAGATCACAAATCCCCCCCGGTGCCTGAGTGAAGGGCAGGGAATGCCACAGTGGCCTGTGATCATGGCTGGTTGTTGTTACTTACATAATAATAATATGGAATCTTCGAAAAAAAGGAGCTCTCTGAATGACAATAGACCCTCAAGAGAATGAACTCACATTTCTGCAAAAGAAGAAGGCTGTGAATTAAAGGAAGTTTGGAGACATTAAGCCCATACACATGCCCAGGCAGAGGCATGACTCACACTGGTGTTCCAGAAGTTCCCCCAAACATGTTTGGTTCTTGGAAACAGACATGTAATAACTAAATTAGTTTTTCTTACAATCCAGTTCTGGGATGACTTCAGCATGATAGAGACATGGCTTGGATGAGTGGGCTCCCTCAGGGTGCCCTTCCCTTCAACACTTGTCTGTTGGTCTTCTCACGTATTAGGGGTAAGGAAGACTCAGGGTTGACACCCAACTCACCAGCTGCTCCTCGGGCTGCATCTGCCTCTCAAGGACCTCAGACTCCCTGTGACACTGCTGCCTTCCCAAAGACTCTATCCTGCAGAAGGTGCAGCTCCACGGGCTCCTAGAGGTTGGGCATAAGTGAGCAAGGGCAAGGCCCCTGGAAACAACCCCTGTTCCTAGGGCTGCCACTGTCCTCCTTTCAAGCATGGCCAATGGACACAGCTGGGAGATGAAGGAGACACCTCCCAGAGTCTCCAAGATGCACATGTAGGGCCTGAGCCCATGACCCTCCTCCTATTGAGGGTGACAACAGGGGACTCGGTGCATGGAGGGCAGTGTCAGGGGAGTGGTGGGCTCTCTTTTTCTCACTGGAGCTGCTAGGAGCACAAAGAGCCCTGCCCACCACACCCAAGTATCAAAACTGGGTCTTAACCCTTGGGGACCCTGGCCTCTATGAGCCCATTGAGCCTGTGGTAAGATGCACGAAGCAGGCCATGTTTCCTGCTTTTTCTGAAAAAGTGCAGAACACAAACAACTGGTGTCCCCATCTCTGTGAACAGAGGTCTGGGCTGGAAAACTTGAAGGGACAGTAGCAGTATATAGGCAAGGGACCCAGCTACCAGCTTCAGCAACCCAGAGAAGAGCAAAGAACAGCATTCCCTCATGCTGCCAGTGTCTTTAACCAGCTCTCTGGATCATACAGCTGGACCTCATACATCTGGCCCTGTTCTTTCTCTGCCTGGATGGAAGTAGGAACTCCACAGGGGGAGCTCCTATGGCAGGGGGAAGGGTTCCTAATTGGAGTGGGGGGGGGGAACATCATCTTACAAACCTCTCAGTTTCCACAGGTGGGATGTGACAGTCCTCATGAAAAGATCTCGAACAAGTATCACAGCAGAACAGCTCTCCTCCGTCCCGGCACGTCTCACACTCGTCAGAGTTTCCCAGCTAAAAGGCGAGACAATGTTCACATCCCCAGGGAGACCCTAGCAGGCCACCGCTATGGGAATCTAGATAGAATTCACTGCTTTTGTGTGAACCTGCACAGACACGTCTATACTTCTCCGAGGTATGAAGGAACAGCATGGAGTGGAGACTTCGGAAGAAATCACCATCCTCAATGATGCTCAGGAGGAAGGGTCTGTGTATCATACGAGAAAAGTTCTCCCTATAAAACCAGAGATTCTAATACAGAAAGACTAGTAGCAAATAAGAAGATGACTTTATAGGAATCCGAATAATATTATTACCTTGCAGGTAAAACAAAGTCCCGAAACAAGTGTTAAGTGCACTTGCCTATACCATAACAGAGACAGACTCACAGAAAGGCGAAATATTGAGAATTTAATAAGAAGGGATAAACTCCTTAATGTGGAAAGGGATAAAAGATGAAAAGACACTCATAAATTATTTTGAGTCTTGTTTTGGGCCTTCAGGTGAAAATAATTGTATTGGATGAATTGGATTCTGGCTATTTCTTTTGTTTTTAAAAATGGCCACGTATGAGGAAGTGTTAACCCCAACAAATGTCTAGCCAAATACTCCCATTCAGTATTCCCCGGGATCCTCAAGGACACCTCCAACTGGGGCTGAGACTGCTCTAGCATGGAGCTGTGGGACCATTTTTCTTCTCATCAGTGCAGACACTCTTAGATTACTATCATCAATCTCCAAGAAATGATCCTCTCCCCAGAAGGACAAAGAAATAACAAATATAACCAATGTTTAGGAATCTCCCTATACATATATATATATATTTTTTAATAGATACAGCTCTTTGTTTCTTAGTCCAGCTGCATATTAAAATCATCCAGGCAAAAAAAAAATCATCCAGGCAGAGTATAAAATACTAATGTCCTGGTCCCAATACCAGGGATACGGAGTCAATTAGTCTGGGTAAGCACAGCCATGGGTATTCTTCTTTAACTCATAAAATGGGTAATTTTGTGTATCAGAATCACTTGGGACTTTTAAACAATCCTAATGTCCAAGATGTAGTCTAGACTGATTAAATCAGAATGACCTGTATTCTGGATATCCAGGCAATGTTAGTTTTCTAAGATCCTCAGGTGATTCAGCGTTGAATCAACCCAAGTTGAAATTTAACCCAGTTATTAGGCATGGGGATATTATTAGTCAGTTTTGAATTGGTGCATAATATCTACCCCTGGAAAGATTATGAACAGGGGTGAGGGTCTGCATCCGTCTCAAGCCACACAAACACTGGATTCAAGAGTTGTTTAGAAGACTGAAGACTTCCTCAGTTGGCCAAGGGTCAAAATCCATGTGGATATCTTGTTGGGGGATTGCTCTGAAGGTAAAGTTCACATAAAACTATCTGACTACCCCTCTACTGGTGGATGTCCTGTGTCAGTATTACTGCCTGATAAACTCTATGAGTGCTTCCTCCTGGTGTTGTGCAAAGGTGACTGTGCTTCAAATGTCTATTTTGATGCAATGAAAGGCATCAAAGTATGATTTAGTGTAGAAAGTGCTAAATTTTGATAGACCATAATTATAGCTGGCAGCCACGTGGGACCACTATGTGATTGACCGTGTGGTGATGGTTTCTGTCCTCACCATCTTAGCATGCTGATGGCTCCCTTAAGACTGGATACTTGACTTCCATTAAGGACCTACCTTGCCCTACATGCATTCCTCTGCAGGACTCACAACAGGATCTGGCCCCCAGACTCACCAGCTTAGCTGAGCCTGTTTCTTCTGCAGATCTTAGCGCTGCCCACACCTTGGAGTGGATGTTTAGGATTTTCCTTTCTTATCCAATTGCCCTTTAAAAAATACCATTCTCTCAAATTTGCTCCTTACCCCTCGTTTGCAGGTCAGCTCTGGCTATTACCACTTCAAGTCCTGCTTCTAGACCCTAGTGGTTTAGAGCTCTGCCTCCCATACTCACTTTCAAGGGGAAATGAGGAAACAGGAAGGTTTCCCTGAACAAATATGTTTTGTTCAAAGGATGTTTTCATGCAGAAACATCAGCTCCAGAACCACCTTCCTGGTGTGAGTGATTCGTCTGCTGTTCTCTGCTCCTCGCACACAGTGACATGCTCCAATTGAGTGTGAGCATATTTCAGGGAAACACAGCAATGACACAGATAGTGCATGGAGGGACAAGGCCTGGATTATTCTCGGGTTAGAGGTGTAGTACTTACATAAGGGTCAACTAAGGTGTTGTTGTGAGCCTTTGGTATTGTCTGTTGAAAAGAGAGAAAGATTGAATGACAATATTAAATACAATGATTGCATCCATCCCTTATTTAATGGCCATCTGTGGAGGAATTCAAGCCACAGTCTACCCATTATTTCATACTTGGTTTTATGGACCTATATATCTACTCGGAGAATAAAAAGGACCAAAATACCACTGTTTGGCCCAATGCAAGTTTAATTTCCTGGATTTCTGACCCAAGGTAGGCCTTTGTGAAGCCATGCAGAGAGTCTGGCTCTGGTTTCCACAGATGGGAGTTGGAGAAACTCCACTGGTTCTCTTACTTTGAAGGTTCCTCAGACATTTTTCTCTACATTAGAAAGTATCATACCATCAGGAGGAGGTGCAATGAGAGAATCAGGTTAAGAGCTCATCACCAACAGCCCTCAGTGATCACAGAGCCCAGAGTTCGGGAATTGGTGGAAATGTCCCAGAGAATTCCATTGCCTTTTGCAGTCCTCTTAGGGCACAGCCTCCAAAATAAAATGTGCCCAACGTCCCCAGTCCTACAGCTTTTCCTCCAGAGGTCACCCTCCTCTCTCCTCCCAAAAAGATATTAGCTAGGTGACTTTTCAGAGGTAATTGATTATCACTCACTAAACTTACAATGCTTTTGCATATTCAGTAGAATGACCTGCCCCCCTTCCCTTTGTAATGTAGCTTTTATCTCCTGCCCAGGACAGAGTAGTCATAGACAAGTGTGATCCATAAGATAATGACCTGAGAAGTGATCATCTCATTGCCTATCTCTCAGGGTGACCTAAAATCCCCCACCCTTACCCGTTAGTTAAACTTCCATGTTAGAATTTGAGGTTGAAACAATCCCTGAGGTCAGGAATATTGTTTCAATAATCTTTAATGGCCACTGGGCATTTAGTGTGGGCTTGAAAATTATATGTTGAATGAGTTAAAAAAATGAGTATTCCTTAGCTTAGGAAAAGAGATTACTTGCTATTTCTTAAGAAATATTAGCATAGAATATAAAGGAGGAATATATTATTTTACAACACAACAACTGTCACCGGATGATATTAGTGGCCCTTGTCAGGAGCCAATAAGCTATCATGTGGTATCAAGAGTGATACTGAAGTTTCCAGAAGCCAAGGGGGTCCATCAGCAAAAGAGGTTCTGAGAAGCACAGAGGACCCATGGGGGTAAGAATGGATTTTAAGATCTGTCATTTTGGGGAGCTTATGGAGAAACACAAAATATAGAGGCAGCTGAGGCTTGTTGCTGAAAAGTGTTACCACCCACAGATAAGGGTAGATCCTGTTGTTAAGAAGTTGCCAACTCACAAGGGTAATCTAACGGAGTAACTATTTTATCCTATTTTTTAAATTTTATTTTTATTTTATTTTTTAAGTAAACTCTATGACCAACACGGGGCTTCAACTCACATTCCAGAGATCAAGAGTCAAATGCTCTACCGAGTCAGCCAGGCACACCTAAGTAACTCTTCACACTTGGGGAATGATCAAATGCTGGTCTTTAAGATACTAAATAGATGAAATAATAGTTTCCCTTTAGGAAATCCAGTGGATGAAATGTCCCAAGGACTAAGAGTTCAAAAGATCCAGAACATCAGATAATTTCATTCCCAGGGAAAGATGAAGTCTCATCTACCAGTTATGCATGGCCTATTTTAGAAGTCTATGAATGTCTTGGATGGCCAGTCCTACTTTAAATATATAAGAATGACACTTCTCTTCTCCCCCTCTTTCTCAAGTTCTTATTCATACCCAATCTTCAAAAATCCATCACCTTGTCTTGAATCTACACTGCACTTAACCTCTTTGTTTGTTGTCTACAAAGGCTTCTTCTGTAGAGGGAGAAATTATTTTCTTAGATAGAAAGGAGGTCTGTACAGCTGCTTCTGATGTAGCTGAAAGGGTAGCATCAAAGTAAACAATTTTTCAGATCTTCCCCCCACCCCATATGATACATAGATCTCCCAAGAACTTCCTTCCCAACAGCACCATCCTCATGAAGGGCAAATAATTCCACCCCCCCAAAAAAAATTCAACATGTCTGAGTGTACATTTAAATGAAAGATGAAAAGGTTCATCTTTGAAATGGACCAGAAAATAAAATACACCTTTTGTTGCCTAACTCATGAAATGGTTTGGCTTCATAAATGTCTCAGAATAGACTATCTACTAGAGTGGAGTTGTCTGAATTACTTAATGAAATCACTATCAGATTTCATTAAAGTGCCCCCCTCAATGCCTGTCACACAGGGGCACTTGACGGGATGAGCACTGGGTGATATGCTATATGTTGGCAAATTGAACTCCAATAAAAAAATAATTAAAAAAAGATTTCATTAAAGTTAGACAGTAGTAACAATGATTTTAAAAATCTGGATTTGAGTTGAAGATGACCCTATATCACCTTATCTTTTTTTTTTTAAGTTTTATTTATTCATTTAAGAGAGAGAGAGAGAGCAAGCAGGGGAAAAGGCAGAGGGAGAAGGAGACAAGCAGACTATCTGCTGAGTGGAGAGCCTGATGAGGGGCTTGATCCCAGGGATCTGAGATCATGACCCGAACTGAAATCAAGACTCAGATGTTTAACCAACTGAGCCACTCAGGTGCCCCAACCCTATATCACCTTATTATGAAGTGTTTTTACGTATTGCATAATCATGTTTGCTTCTACAACTTTGACACCCTTACAACATCTGCATCTACAGTTAAAGCACATATATGAGGTATGTTTTGATGGTTCCTTATCGTCTCTACCTTAAATGGTTTAGCATTCAAAGATCTTGCCTTTTATATGGCATAATGTTCAAAGTGGCAACTCTGAAGTCACATGCCCTCCCAAAAGGGAGGGAGGGGTGGAGGAAGCTTAATTATAATTACCCAATTAAGAACTATAAATAATTGTACATATAACATCAGTTATCTGATAAGAACTTATAAAAAGTGACATAATAATCACCTTTCTTTTCCTGAAATATTTTCTTGGAGGATTATGTAGAAGTTCTTTCTGAAAGATAAAAAGATCCAAGTTTGTGGCTAGCCTATGTTTCTATTTTGTGAGTCTGGCATTTCCAGTCTCTCCCCATATATTTCTACTTGGGTGTCCCACTGTCAGCTCAAAGCCAGGGTGACTAAATGAGAAACCATCTCCCTCTCCTCATCTGTACTTCTAGAATTCAATCAATGGTAGAATTTCAAGCATTTCAAGTACTTTTTTCTTTTCTCTTGTGCATTTTTTCCTAAGTGTTGAGAGGTTTTCCTTCATAATCTCTTTGACATCTACCACTTCCTTTCTATTCCCACCAATGTCACTTATGCTAAGTGCACACACCAGGGCTGTTTAATCAACACACACTTATCCCATGTGTACTGGGTATCAGACATTGTGGACAATTTTGGGCATACAAAGATAGACAACCCCTAGAAGTATCTAGAGAGAAAAAGAGAATGCATGGAAGGATAAATATAAAACAATATAAGAAGGGTCTTAGTAGTGGGTTCACAGAGACCAGGGAGGTGACCAGGGCCAGGTGCTCAGAATATTCAGAGAGGGGAGACATTTGAGATGAGCAGTGCAAGCCGAGTATAGATATCTTTGGGCTGAAAGACACTAAAATCATTTCAAGCCCTCATGATCATCTAAAATATTGTTTTAAATATGTCATTGAACACTCAGAAGACCACTGATTTTTCATTGTCTCTATTATGAGTTTAAACTCCTTAGGCTGATACTAAATCCCTCTATAAACAACCCCAATTGATGGATCACACCTTATCACACACAACTGGTCTACCTCAACCCACAGAGCTACTTTAGCTATGGTTCTGGATTTTATGCCATTCTTTCTCTGGAGTATCCTCTTTCCATTTGTCTGAATGTAGACTGTCTTCTTTCAGTGCAGGATGTAGTCTGCATGCACCTGAGTCACAATGGCTTCTCCCTCCTCCAAGCTCCAACCTCTATCTACACAGAGCTCCCTTTACAACATCAATGTGTGACATATTAGGAAAGTTATGAATGTGATGCATCTCTCCCTGGGTCAGCAGATAAACTCAGGGGCATCAGGTTTTTAATCATAACTCAACAAAAACTTGGTGAGCAAATAATGACCATACACAAGGAAAGTCACATCTGCTTCAGTCCTTGCAATACCTCTATCAGCCATCGTAGGGGCATCCCACCACAGCGAATGCTCAGCTTCCAGTTCTTTGATCTTGCGTGGCCTCCTTTGACTTCAAATTCCCTGGGGGTGAACCAGTTTCCATCCTCACTCTGTATACATCTCACCAAGACTCCTGTAAGACCAAGGTAAGTTGAGCCTGAGCCTCCTTAGTCTTCAGAACACAGATGATGGACTCCCACTACAATGCATCTGGAGCCACCCAATTTGAGCTCAAGATTTATAGCAGGAGAGTCTAGCCTCTTTGTTTTCAGCCTTTAGAATCCCCAAATCTAGACTGTAAGTCCCCTCAAAGGAGATTTTCTGCCTTGTGGCAACATTTCTTTAAAACTTTGTGCAACAGAAAGGTGATAATTATTAAATCAATCTTTTAAAAAATATTTCAAAATCATCTACAAAGGAAAAGCAAGTCAACCTGAAGCATGAGAGGATCTCAATTTGCTGGGGACAGGGAATGGTACAGAATCTCCAATGGCTCCTGAGGCAAGGTGAAGATAGAACTTCAACTTGAGAATGAACTTAGAATGGTTATTATCCAACATCTAGCCTTTATTACATTTTTTATACAGTGTAGTAGCATTATTTTTTTTATAAATTTTTTTTTTATGATAGTCACACACACAGAGAGAGAGGCAGAGACACAGGCAGAGGGAGAAGCAGGCTCCATGCACCGGGAGCCCGACGTGGGATTCGATCCCGGGTCTCCAGGATCGCGCCCTGGGCCAAAGGCAGGCGCCAAACCGCTGCGCCACCCAGGGATCCCGTGTAGTAGCATTATTAAGCAGAGTTTTCCCCATCCCTGAAATCGTGGATACCTGACATTAAAAATAATCATGAAATGTTACCCAGTGGAAAATTAACCTATGCATGAAAGATAATCTTATCTAAACAGCATTTCTCAGACATTGGAGAAACATAAATCAAAACCACAATGAGATACCACTTCATAACCACTAGGATGGTCATAATAAAAAAATCAGACAATAATAAGTATTGACAAGGAGGTTGAAAAATTGGGGCCCTCAGACATTGCTGGTGGGAATATAAAATAGTGCAGCCACTTTGTGAAAAATATTTTGGTGCTTTCTCGGGAAGTTAAATATAGGTTTACCATATGAACCAGCAATTCCACTCCTGGGTATATAACTAAAAGAATTGAAAATATTTGTTCACACGCACACAAAAACTCATACATGAATATTCAAAACAGAATTATGCATAATAGCCCAAGAGTGGAAACCCAAACTGATGATTGAATGATGTATATGATGTATTGACACCATGAAATATATTACTTGGCAAAAAAAAAAAAGAAGCACTAATATATTCTGTTACATGGATGAACCTTGAAAATATCATGCTAAGTGAAAGAGCCCAGTCATAAAAAGGCACATTTTATAATTTCATTTATGTGAAATACCTAGAATAAGCCAATTTATTAAGCAGAAAATAGATTAGTGGCTGCTTAGGGCTGGGCACGGGGATGAACTGGGAATGCTACAGACTCCAAATAGACATGGTGTTTGCTTTAGTGGGGGATAGAAACAAATACTGTAAGACTAGATTGTGGTGATGGCTGAACAATCCTGGGAAAATGCAAACAAAACTCAACCCTGAATTGTACACTCTGAGGGGTGGACTGTGTGATATGTGATTATACCTCAGCTAAGCTGTTGAAGTATTTTACATAGATTAAGTAAATTAATTCCTCACAGTGTAACTGTGAGGCAGGTTTTTAATTATCATCCCTTTTCTAGATAAGAAACTTCAAGCTCAGAAAGGTCCCACTCTCTAGTCAGATGAATCAGTCCCTCTTGGCAGAGTTGCAGCTGGGGCTCAGTCTCTCCAATTCTAAATTTTCTGTGGTCTTCTCACCACATCCAGCACTCTACCCTGGTGGTGATCATCTATACAGAAAAGAGGATATGAAGGTGGAGGCTGAGGGCCTCTTCCCTTTTATTTCTGATTCACTTTTCTTTGGTTCTTTGAGCATCTCCATGGACACTTCCATGTGGGAGTGAACACCTAATATGTATAATTTCTGAAAATGTAAAAATATCATCTTAGGGATCCCTTCCTCCTTCCTTCAATTCCTTAAATGCTGTATAATTCACATGAGTAATTCCATACTGCAAATCAGAGGAGACCATGGAACTCACCTTGTTTCAGTTTCTTCTTATATAACATCCCCTTCACCTCACCACAGGTTACAGGAAGTATTTGAGAGTGAAAATTCACCCTATCGTCTCTGTCTCTGCGTCTTCTTCTTGACCCTGAAAGAGAAGATTTCCTCATTCTGCCTCATTTTACAAATGCACATGCATCTCTGCAACCTTGTGGATTTTGTTCCTATAGAGATATAGAGGTGCTTAGGGAAGTCTACTCCACAAATCTCTAGAGTCAGAGTCTTTCTTCCAAGTGGCATTTTTGATACATAACTACAGAATGTCTACCTCTCTCTTACCCTTCAAATCCCACACAAAACGGAATGCTTTTATGGAGAAATCAAGCCTCAATAAAACTTCCTTACTCCCAATCTAGTCAGCCTCGCTGGTTCTTATATGACAATGAAATACACAACAGCTGCCACATTCTGAAGGGAGATCTTCAGCCACACTATTTTACTGCAGTTAGGTAGCCACAGGCAAAGTGAGAGATTGTACTTATGTCTCCCTAATTGAGATCTGACTAACTGAGCAGAGAGAGGGGAATGAATGATGGGGGTACCCTCATGGAGATTATATCTGCCTTCTATTCTTCTCTGCTTTGCTTCATATCCCCCCAGCCCACATCAACTTTCTCCATAGCTAAAAGAGGAGCTCAGGGAACTCTAAAATAATCTGCACATTGTATGAGGAGAGGTAGCTGGAGACCTGACTCCACAGAAGTAGGGATGAAAGGTCTTTAAATGAACTCAAGGAGGTTGTATAGGCTGATGCCACCCTTCCAGCTGAGATTTTAGAGCCATGATGGGAGGAGGGGAGCTATCCATGGTCCAGTGTTGAACCGGGTAGACCATCAGAACTGTGATGGACTGAGAATGATTGGCTTAATTTGCTCTCTTGCTCTGTGGTCAAGTGACAGGCTCAAGCCCACACAATCAAAAGTAGAGAAAGACAAAGACTACTGACAACCACTCTAGGCTACTTGTGGTGTGCAACTTGTGACTCTCTACATAGCAAAAGGACGATTAGCTAAATAATGTAGGTTACATGGCAACAATTTCCAGCTCAAAAGCTATCAGTTCAGGGAAGACAGAATCATTCTAGTGGCCCCTGGACCCATAAGGTCGGGTCACCAAGTTACTTGTTTGTGAGATTATCTTGTTTCTCTCCCTGACATATTTTGAAAATGACCTAAATTATACACATCTCTCAACAGTTAGTAAAGCTGTAAAGCATGTAGGGAAGTGGGTTTATTACTAAAATCACAGAAAACAGGAAAGCACAGGAAATTAGCTGTTTAGTTATTGAAAGTTATTCTCTTTTTCTTCTTTAACCCTTGGCCAGGCTCTTGTCCATGGGGTTCTATCACTATGAGTTAAGTAAATAGGAGTAAATAGCCTCTCTTTTTCCCTGAAAAAAAAAAAAAAGAAAGAAAAAGAAAATCACAATCACAGACATGCAGTTGCATTGCATGTATTAGTGCTTTCTAAGATTTCCATTTTAATATAGCTTCCCCAAAGCCTGTCTCATGGATAAAGAAAAATATATAATCCCTAGTCTTAAGATACCAAGAATTAGATAGATAATCATAGGCTTACCTTATATTTAATTTTTATAGTACCACAATTAGTCAAAGAAACAAACAAGAGGGCAGCCCGGGTGGCTCAGTGGTTTAGTGCCACCTTCAGCCCAGGGTGTGATCCTGGAGACCCGGGATCGAGTCCCATGTCGGGCTTCCTGCACGGAGCCTGCTTCTCCCTCTGCCTGTGTCTCTGCCTCTCTCTCTCTCTCTCTCTCTCTCTCTCGTGTGTGTCTCTCATGAATAAATAAATAACATATTTTTTAAAACCCCAGCTAATTCATAATACAACACCATTATGTTTTACTTTGAAAATAGAGTGACTAAATAAGACAAGATTTAACTAATTTTTGTGTCCCCAGGTTCTAATACCCACTTAATAACACCGAATCCCCCACTATGAACTCTAATATAGCAGTCAGAATATAATTTAAGGTTATTTTAAAATTTTTTCATGCTTGATATTAATTGCTCTCTAATAGTAATAAGTGTGACAGAATTTTACATTCTTTCCTATTTTCCCAAAATTTTAGTAAAAGTTTCAATAATTGGGAACAATTCACTAAGTGCCAAGGAGGGTAACCAACTGTCCCTGTGCACCTAGGACTAAGGGGTTTCCCAGGATGCAGGATTTCCAGTGGAAAAACTGGGAATGTCCTGGACAAACCAAAGTGAGCTGGTCACTCTAATTTCAAGGACTCCACACATAAGACAATGCACCGAACGACGCATGTGACCATACAAAATATCGGTAGAATAGGTCATGCCAGCTCATCACTTATATCCAGGCAGTAGAAGAATGGCTATGTTTCTCTCCAAGGAAGTCGAGCAGTGGTGTCAGACCACACTATGGAGTTATCAAAAGCATCTTATGGAGAAAAGAACTAGCGATGGTATACCCTCCATTCCCAGTGGCATCTCAGAGCTACATCTGTCAAATGAGACACTTCCATATTCTTATCTCTCCTCTCTCATCCATCTTCCCTAATCCTGGAGGGTCCCAAACCAGCAGCTCTTAAGTATAGGTGGAGGCAAGAGAGAATGTGAGAGGAGTCTGACCATGCCACATCCCCACTGCGGGTGGTCCACATCAAGATTTGCTCAGGCTGAAGGAAGAAAGGTGCTTTGAAATGGAGAAAATATTGAAGTTTTCACACTAGTCCAGAAAGGACACTCAACTATTGAAGAGAGACTTACACTCTTGTGACAAGAGAACAGGAAAACTATGAGGCAAGCCCAAGACAGGAAAAACTCATCCAGAAGGTAGATTTCAAAGGGCAGTAAAGAAATGAACTTGTTTTCTACTTATAATTTACCAAATCTGGCCATTTTAATAAACCATTGGTGCAAGGTAAAGAAATTTCCACAAAAAGTAGATAAAACTCAGAAAAGGATTTTAAGTTCTGGGCAGATAAAAAGTATGATATAAATGCAAACAATTTATAACCCTGGCTCAAAATGGGTTTACTTTTTAGATTTTGCAGCTCTCAAATTGACAGGTAACTTTGGCTAGTAAAAAATTAAGGAAGATCTTAATCTTCCTTTGACAGTCCTCAAAACGTTAGCAAAATTCGTATTGACCCACAGGGCCAAGTGGAAGTGGCACAGAGTTTATCTTACTCTTGATCTTGGCAAGTTCTTGCAGACGCATTTTCACCTTTTTCCCCCTGGAGACCAACTGGCCAGCAGTGCTGCTGCTGTCTAGGGATAAGCAAGGGGAGATACCGAGTTGGACAAAATAACAGTTGACATGAGAGACCAAAAAGCAAGTGAGTGCACACCATATTCAATTCTGAACCTCCTTTCACTATTCACTCGGACAAGAAAGCACATTAATGGCAAGGGATCTCAAGCAGGTGTCCAGAGCATGCTCCACTTTTAGGAGGGAAGACTTTTAAATTACATATAAGATTTCATTGTACTTTGGAAAGAAGTGGTTTAGAATTTATCTATGTACACAGACACCTAAATGAAAATAATATCATGATTAAATCCAAAAATTTGGTATTTTGAAAATAAATATTGTTAAAATAGATGCTACCACTTTTTTCTTTCCAAGCAAAATTGTACACAATTGTACCCAACAGGGTAGCCATGTAAATTGACAAGAACATAATATATATAGGTTGGTGAAAATTAATCATTTTAATTGGACTCTAAAACCTCATTATATGGATCTGTTGCAAAATTGATAATCACGTGGAAAATGAGGTCTAGCTTTCATTGTCTAGAAGGAGTGAACTCTTTAAACCACTCCTGAAATAAACATGGTTTCAAGGGTCCGACTAGAAGTAATACGTGTATGTACTACTGGAAATTTAGAAAATAAAAATTATATGAAACAGCAATATTCTAGAGAGAGCTATCATTGTTCAAAAATATTCCCATAGGCTTTTGTCTCTGTATATTTTACTATTTAAACAATACCTTTTCATTGCAAAATTTGAACGTGTTTAATATTTTTCAGTGTACTCACATACACTTAAAAAACACAAATAAAAATATAAATATCACCTACATTCCAATGCCCTATATGTTTACTGATGAATATCTATTGATTTTTCCATTTACCTGTGTCTTTCTCTATAAGTATGTACAGATAAGAATTTATAGATACTAAAAACACATTTGTACAAATATGTTTTTGGTTATTTGCCATGTGTATACATGCATAACCCCCTGCACATGCAATCTGCTTTTTGCATTTGGCTTTCTTTGGAACATCTTACCCAATCAATACACATTTCTTGACCCAGCAGAGAAGCCACATATTGAGGATGGCAGTGTCTCCCCAAATCATTTAGCTCTGGGCCATTCTGTATTGAGAACTAAGCCATTTGGGAAGCCACCGCGTTTTCAGGCCTCTTTGTTACAGCATCTTAGCTTATGTCCTTGTGGAACAGCTACTAAGAAACGGTCAGAGCCCTTGGGAGCCCTCAGGCCTGCAGGGGGACAGTAAGCAGGGCCTTACACTCAAGCGCTTACCTTTTTGATGTAACTTTCTCTGATATTTCCTTTTAATTCTTGTCCAGGCATGGCCTTTCTTTCTTCCTTCAAGCAAAAGAAAATAAAGTTAATTATTCAGAGCTACAAATATAATTTTTAAAGCCATATATGCTAGTTTTCAAATACTTTCTTAGACCAGAACAGGACAAAATTCTTTACCAGTGCAGCAGTGTGACGCTGATTGCAGAGTTATGCTTTACTCCACACAGACCTGGGAGATTACAGAAGATGACCTTCCTTTGAAAAGTAAAAAACAGGAGTGCCTGGGTGGCTCAGTCGGTTAGGCGTCTGCTTTGGGCTCAGGTTGGTCCTGGGATCCAGGCCTACGTTAGGTTCCCTGCTCATCAGCGAATCTGCTTCTCTCTCTGCCCCTCACTCTGCTTGTGCTCTCTCTCTCTCACTCACTTGCTCTCTCGCAAATAAATTAATTAAGAAAATATTTTTTAAAATAAAAAACAAAACAAAACAAAACAAAAAAACATGACACACATACACAAAAATAAATTCTTGCTGGTGCCTTAGCCTGAATGATAATTGTTGTGGGTATATGTCAACACATTTCCTCTTCAGGTGTCTTCCAGTTCAAATATGCCATGAGGAGACACACTCCTCAGAGCTGGGTAGTGTCATGGATAATATGTCATGCTGGAGGTTGGGAGGCCCTCTCAGCTTTGATGCGGAGACTTAAAACAATCTCTGTACTTGCACTTGTGTCACAAATCCTCCCACTTCTGTGCCATCTAGTGCCTGGAGTTCCTGGAGGGCTTAAAGGAACCACAGCAGGTTATGTGTTCCACTTTGCTTTCTTGTGAATGATATGAACATATAAGAGTGTGAGAAGACCATTGGCACTGGGTTAAGTAGAGATCATATCTTATCACTGTTGTGAAATAAAAATAGCCAGCTACTAGATTTTTACTGCTAAGAGTGAAGACCATGGAGGGAGGCCTTACAACTCCCACTTGGATTTCCATTCCACTTGGAGGTGGGTCAACTCAGACTCCAGGACTTACAAGGCAGGAAGGGCCTACAAATAATAAGCCTTGTTCATCCAACGGAAATGGTATGTTCAAGAATTCTGGGATTTGGGCAGCCCGGGTGGCTCAATGGTTTAGCGTTGCCTTCAGCCCAGGACCTGATCCTGGAGACCCGGGATCGAGTTCCACATCAGGGTCCCTGCATGGAGCTTGCTTGCTTCTCCCTCTGCCTGTGTCTCTTCCTCTCTCTCTCTCTCTCTGTCTCATGAATAAATAAATAAATAAAATCTTAAAAAAAAAAAAGAATTCTGGGATTTGTCCCATTGTCCCCTCGGCTTTCCATGACCCTTCCCAGCCCTATGTAGGGGCTATGGCTGTGTGCCAGGCTTGTGACTCCTCCCAAAATGGACTTGTTTGTCTCTCAGTGGGGAGACATAAGGGGCTTTGTCCATGACTGCTCCCAGGACACTGATCAGGCCTTGAGCCCCTCTGAGAGCTATGAGTGGTGCCTCAACACCATCCATACTTCAGCTTATAAACCAGCTGACTCTGGCCACATCACTGTGGCCCTAGAAACTCAGGAGCATGGTTGAACCATTAGTAGTCTGACAATGGTGTGCCTTTTATCAAAAAAAAGCTACTTCCTTTTTTAATATTTTATTTATTTGTTCATAAGAAACACAGAGAGAAGCAGAGACATAAGCAGGTTTCCTGCGAGGGGCCTGATGCAGGACTCAATCCCAGGATCCTGGGATCATGACCTGAGCCAAAGGCAGACATTCAACCACTGAGCCACCTAAGTGTCCCCCCAAAAAGCTACTTCGAATGCATTGATTGACTCTATGTCCCTCGTCTTTTCCTGTCTACACACCTCTGGAAGGCTCTTTGGTCACTGAAGGCAACTGTCCCCAGAAAGGGGTCAGCTCCTTCCTGCATCATTATCAAGATAAAAGTGGTGGGGGATTCACGGTATTAGACAGACCAGTTCTAAAAATTCAGCATTCTGTTTTCCCTGTCCTTAGAGATGATGCCTCCTTCTTTCCCCTACTAGCCTGGAGGGCCTTCAGAGAGCCTACAGGATTCAGATTTTATTCTGATTACATTTTATGAAGATGCCTTTGCACCACTTGTATCTGACCCTTTGGATAAAGGGAATAGGAGATAATTTGGAAAGGAGATGAAGTTACAGCCACCAGAATGGTATACACAGATTTTGTGGCAGTAAAGGAAAAGCAAAAATCCAGACATCTGAGGAAGAAACCCCATAAAGCCTAGCAGGTATGGGGTGAAGGGGAAGCATTAATGATATCTGCCTTGCAGAACTGCCTCGAATTTCACTTCCAGAGAAAACCCACCCCAGTCCTTATGTCTTACCACAGAGATGACAATGATGATGTCTGCCATTCTGGATCAGACATGAGAAAACAGGATGGGCCCCAGCATCTGCATATCCCATGCAAGATTCCTCTGGACATCATTCTCATGCCCGCTCTCAGTCTTTTGGAGAGGGGCGAAGGCAGATACCATTTGGTTGGTGTCATGGACAAAGAGGACAGATTAGGAGGGACTGTCCTCCGGAAGTGCCTCCTCAACTGAACCCCACCCCCAAATCAGGGACTAAATGCAATGAATGAAACTGGGAGCTCTAACGTTTATACTCAACCAGGGGCCCATGTTGGAGGCACTGTCCTTCTACCCCTTGTTGATGTATGTTCCATTAGGGGACCTCGGCAACTGTAAATGCTTCCCTTTCAGGGCCACCATGTGTGCCCTTGGAATTGCACTTCTTGTGTGAAAGCCAGGCATTCACTTGCCTCCTAATGCAAACATGGTAAATGGTAAATTATAGGTTACGGTAGTCACTAGAGACTTGCATCATTTATGCTTTATGAAATGAATTACATACTGCAGGAAACAAATTGAATAGATTTGGTCCTAGCCCACACTGGCCAAATCAATCAGAATGGTTGATGGAGTGGTATCTTCATGGGGAAAGTTGCCAAAATCTGCTGTGTGAGGTGAATTTGTTGTGAGGCAATTTTCCTTAGCATTTCCACATGCCTCAAACTATCTTTGCAAGGATGTTTGAATAACAAACAGCCTTGGAAGCCAGAGATAATGTAACCCTCTAGGTCAGAGAGCGGATTTGTTTACTGACCTGTATAAAATAGAAAACGTCTCCCTCCTCTTTCCAGAGGAGATCTGCTTAAGTTCCAGCTAATAAGATAGTGTCTCCCTCAGGGGTAAGGTTTGAGCAGGTTTGCTAACAGCTCCCTTCTACCACCGAGGTTTCTGAAGTGTGGTATTCCTCAGCTTGAGCACAGCCTGTGTGTGCCACCTCACCCCCGACCATGGGGGGTGAGGTGGCATGGGTTTGCAGGGAAAAGAACTGATGCACCTACCCCATACCCCAGACATTTCATTCCTAGGTATTTACGTAAGGGATCTGAAGGCATGAGGCCGGGACACTCGGATGGCTCAGTGGTTGAGTGTCTGCCTTTGGCTCAGGGCATGATCCTGGGTCCAGGGATCGAGTCCCACATCAGACTCCCCATGAGGAGCTTGCTTCTCCCTCTGTCTATGTCTTTGCCTCACTCTATTCATTCTCATGAATAAATAAGTAAAATCTAAAAAATAAAAAAAACGAAGGCCACAGAAGGACTTCTACTAGAATGTTCACTGCAGCTTTTCCACATTAGCAAAAAAAATAGGAAACACTTGCGATGTGTGCCAATAGGAGAATATATATATATGCAAACCTTGGTATATTCATATAATGTGTGATACTTTGCAATAAAAAGGAACAAAATGCTGATATATATTCAACAGTGCGGATAAACCTGAAAAATGTTATGCTGAGTAAAAGAAACCTTACACCAAATGAAAACATGCTCCAAAACCTCACTTATTTAAAGTTTTAAAACAAGCCAAATTAACTTGCCAAGAAAACGTATGAAAAGTGGTTCCCTCTCATGAGTGAGGGATAAGGATATACCAAAGGTCATAAAGGCTCTTTGCAGGGAAATGGTCATGTTCCGTATCTTGGTAAGGATTTGGATTAACCAGGGGGGATGCATTTATCAGAACTCATCAGATGATACATTTAGTATTTGTGCATTTCTCTATAAAGGTTATATCAAAAGAAAAAAGGCTGAAAACAAATAATGAATCTAATTAATGATATGTTGATTGAAGTATTGGAGGGAAGTGTACTGATGTCTGCAACCTTGAGATGTTTCAGACTTGAAAGTGGGTTAGTGGAGTGTATGAACAAACACATGGATAGATGGTTGGGAACACAATAAAGTAAGAACAGTATAATGCTAATTTTGAATCTATGTGAAGGTATATTGGTGTTTACATAAAATTCTCCCATGTTTTCTGTACCTAACTTTCTATGATTCGATCCTGGTGAAAAGAGCTTTGGAAAGAAAGGAAAGATTATTTGCCAAGAAAAGACACAATAAAAGAAGAATTTTCACCCACCATGACACAATAATTTGAGAAGGCACTGCAGTAATCGTGTTACTGTACTGAGGAGAAATAAGTATCAACCCAGAATTTTTAATCTTGCTAAAAAAATTCTATCAAGGTAAATTTGCAAATATAACACTGGGAGAGTCTGCCAATTAGAGACCACTCACTAGGAGAACCAAAAGAATTAAATCAGCTAAACAAAAGTGAAGCCAAAAAGAAGAAGAACTAGGAAGAGGGGGCTGTGGGGGAGGAGGAGAAGGAGGAGGAAGAAAGCTCTTTCTCATCTTGCAAGATGGCAGGTGACAAATCTGAGATGGCAGAAACGAAGAAGAAACCTGAAGCCAAGAAGGCTGATGCTGGTGGCAAGGTTAAAAAGGGGAGCTTCAAGGCTAAAGCACCAGAAGGGAAGCCCCACTGTAGCCAAAACCCCATCCTCATCAGAGGAAATGACAGATATTCCAGATGAGCTATGTATTCCAAAAAGGCCATGTACAAGAGGAGGTATTCAGCAACTAAATCCAGGGTTGAAAAGAAAGAGAAGGTTCTTGATACTGCCACAAAACCAGAATGATAGTACCCCAATGATTAAAT